ATTAATATTTTTTTGTTTGTTTTTGAATAAAGATTGAATTTTACAAAAAAAAGCTCAGAACTTTTTTGTACACCTAATATATTCACATTGGTATCAGTTATATGACAAATTATGTGAATATTGTGGAAAAAATAATATACTATTTAAAAATAAATTGTGTAGAGAAGAAAAATCTTGAATTGAAATTGATAATGCGCAAATTAAAAAAAAGCAATGGCCCAGAGGTGCTAAAGATATTTATATATTATTCTTACAAAAAAGTTTAAATAAAAATATATAATAAACAGCATAATATGAAAATATAGATGCAGATTTTACATAATATATTTTCAAATTTTCATAAATAATTTTTTTGTACAAAAGTTTACTTTAAACTAAATATGTTTATATTTTATTGCATATAAGTTATTTCTTTATTATATATAATAATAATAAATATAATAATAAATTTATTAAGGACAATCATAATTTTATAAATAATAATAAAGAATTGTCGTCTTTTATAATATCTGTCAATATTTAATTGTATTTATACCTTATTTTTATTTGCAGAAGCTTTTACAGTTTCTCCATTTTTTTTTATGTAGCACCGACATATACAATTGTACAGAATTTATTATCATGTTATAATGTAATCATGTCGCAAAAAATGAATATATATACTGTTTATAAAATGCTTAACACAACAAAATAAATGATATCAAATTTACTTTTTATAAAAAAGTAAAAAAAGTCGCCAATTTACGCACAGTGTGTAAAAACTCACATATCTTTGCATCAAAGATCCAAATATTATATTACAAAATTACGTCATCTTACTGATGTTCAAATAATATATAATACTCACCTAATAATATTATTATTTGTATTATTTGTTATAAAAGATTTGATATCAAAAAGTGGCGCCAAGTTATAGTTATAGTGACGTTATCTCGAAAGTTCAATATACAACTGCTTTTAAAAAATAAAATTCATATGATACTATCTTTATATTCCCATTAAAGTCTTCTTATTCTAATTCAAATGAGTAGTTCTAATTCTTTTTAAAAAATAATAATATGAAATTGCTTAACTTAATTCAAATAATATGTATCCAATCTAAGTGATATATTTCTTAAATAACACCATGTATACCATTTATATAAAAAATTTGATATCAATAATTGGCGCCAAGTTATATAAATTATTATATGTCAGTTTCGAAAAATAAGACCTAATAATTATATCTATAAAGGATTTGATGCTTCATATAACAATAACGTTTTATTAAACGTATTAAACACTGAACATATGTTTTCTAATTAATAACTATCAGAATTCCAAAACAGTTTCAATATTACACGAATATATATAATTGTACTGTGTGCCACGCATTCTGCTATATATTTTAAATAGAGCGATATATTTAGGTAATAATACATATTAATAATAATACATATTATTAGAAATATAGAACGACCTTAAAATCAAACAGCATACAAAAACTTGCACATATCATTCGAATATTTTACACTCGTACACTCGAAAGTACTGTGGTCATACGTACTATTGCCTAATATACCAGAGAACATTCATATGATATTTTAATGATATATCGTTTCTCGTATATTCTTAAGCTCTTCAATATACCAAATATACCCCAGCAGCAGTACGAATATTCTGTATTTATACTGATATCATACCGAATATACTAAGATTATTCGTATAAAATCTATGTATCCCAAATAACAAGATGATGTCAATGATTTAAGGTCATTTTTGTCAGTGTACTAAAAATGTAAACAATGTAAAATAAACGTAACATTTGTCGCGAAATATTATCATAAATATATTGATTTAATCGTCATTTTTAAGTCATTTTTAATGAATAAATAATGAAATAATTTATTTTAATTATATTAATTTACATTAATTATTTTATCTTTTTTGATTAACTATAATATATAAATAAGAAAAATATTTCTCATATTTAATACTGTGGCGGTCATCGTCACTCTGGCCCATCGACAAGCGCGCTGGCGCGCGCCGCCGCGCGCTGCCGCGCGCCGACACAGTGGGCCCACGCACGGGAGTGATCCACGCGCTCGCCACGAGATGGCCAACCGTTTGATCATCCACTCGTGCGCGGAAACCGTCTTTACGCTATATAAGAGCGGCCAGCACCACCGTTTGGCACTACCCCCTCGGTGCGCACTGGAGCCCGCGCACGGCTTAAGCTAGCACTGAGAACTGACCGCTTGCGGTCATTATACGGCCCTTTTTACACGGCCGGCGTTACCGACCATTATTGGTCGTATTCCCCCCTCAGTGGCCGCGCACGCCGTGCCTCTTCTCGCCTGAGTTCTCTTTAGGGGCCGTACACGCCGTTGGACGAGACTCTTGGCACACCCGCCGATCGAGCCGCTGTCTCCGCTACCGGAGGAGAGCCATACTGCGGAGACGCCACCGGAGTACGGCGCCCCGGGACCAGGACTTCGCCACCACGTCGGGACCGCCTCCTCACCGCCGCCGACCTCGCAGCCGCATCAGCCCGTGCCCGAGTAACCTGCTGGCAGCCATCACCGCGGGAGACCTTCCCCGCTACCGCTAGGACCAGCGCCGAGCGGACTTCTCACCGGCTAGGAGAACAGCGAGAC